GTACATCGGATAGGAGCGGGTTGCTAATGTTATCATCCAGTTCGGACAAAAAAAAAAAAAAAAACAATTCTGAGGAATAGTTGGAAAACAAAAGTGCCAACTGATTGGTGCACCACCGACGCCGGTGGTGTGTTGGCTCCAATGGTGGGAGAAGATGCCGGTCCGACTTGGCAGATCCACACTTATTGTGACCTCCTGAATTCCATCGGCACGCCTTCCTTTGAGGAAGCAGAGTCTGTGGCGGTCTCTCCAATCTCTGGGGTTGAAAAGCTTCGCGGTGGGCGGGCGGAGGAGATGGGCCCGGGGTTCTTCGACGGACATCGGCAGACCGGTGCGGCAAGGGGGACCGGGGGCTGTGTGCCACCACGCGGTCCCTCAGCCTCCCCGGTCAGATCTATTCACGGCTGCTGGAGAGAGGCGGCCGTTCGTTGGGAAGACGAATGTCAGATACGGCAGGAGCGCCGGTGGGTTTTTCCTCCCGCAGCGGCTCTACGACGTCCATAAACTTTATGGACAGAATTTCGAGCCACAGCCGAGGCCTTTGAGGGCGTCCGGCTTGGCGGTCTCAGTATTACAACGTTGCCTTTTGGAGACGACGTGGCACCGTTGGCTTCTTCAAGCTCTTTAAATTGGTCTTTAACTCTCACTGGAGCGGTTTGCCGCCAAGTGTGACCGCGACCTCACCTGGGATAAGCGGCAGAGAATGACGACGGCAATGTCGTCTTTGAACTACCAAGTTAAAAAAAAAAAAAAAAAATGTCATGCTGTTCTCTGAAAGTAGAAGTTTTTTTTGGTGAGGCCAATCCTGGACCTCTACCTCTCCACATTTGCTGTCATTTTCACAGCATCTGCATGCACTGTGGCGCTCACCGTTATTTTCCGTGTGCTTTCAGATCTGGTGGAGAACTTTGACGAGGCGTCCAAGGACGAAGCAAACTAGAGGACCAAGCGGGAACAAAACGGGGACCTCGGGGTCGGACACGGGGGAGGGCCTCCGAATCTTGGTGCTTGTTAGCTTCCGTGCGTTGCCCCCAACTCTCCACACCAGGTTCAGTCCCACCCAATGATTGTATAATATTTTTCCTCTGTGTTACTGAATCTTGTTCATATGTGGCCTCGTTAAAAAAAAAAAAAAAAAGCAAGCCATGTCTGCAATTAAGTGTAGCTACTGTCAATCAACAAGCGCAACTTTTGTTTTGAAGTGAATCGTGTGGGCTGATAGTGACCAATTGTTTTTGACTTCAGTCCGCTTGTCATTGGTATGATCTCGGTTTGGGGGGGGGGGGTTGAGTTTGAGAATAAAAAAGATGGAGTGGAAATTTTGGTTGACATTTTGATCTTTTTAATGAAAATGTCACAAGCGCAACCGTGTCGACATACACGCGCATTCGTTTCCTTCTCAACCACAGCACATGAAAATGAAAACTAGTTGATTCAACACAACACCACATGCTAGGTTACGTGAAAATGGTCATTGAATTTTTTTTTTATTTCGAAATTCACAATTTGCAAACAAAAAATCGAATTACATTGTTACATTATTTCTTTGTCATTAAAACATGATGTATACTGAGGATGAAAAGTGATGTTTTCAACCAGAAAAGTCACATTTTTCAGGGCAAAGTTGTCTCACAGACCGAAAACATTCAACATTTGAATGGATCCGTCACTTACTTTCAGACAGCAAATGTGCACAGTTACGATGACAAAAACCAACTGGGTTTTTTTTCTCTCCATGAACTCATATCAATTGCGTGTATTTCACATGAAAAATTCCATTTCAAGTTGAACTTATTGCAGTGTCAAACTCAAAAATGCAACCCCAATTTCCAAAATGAAACGAAGCATCCCCCCCCCCAAAAAAAAAGTAATAGCAACACAGACATGTCAAATAAATAACGTGTGGGAACACCCAAAGCAGCACAAGAGTCAACCGCGTCCACGACAGAATGCTTGGCGACGTCGTCGTCCGACGTCACTCTCGCACGGCCATCAGCAGTCGCAGCAGGTGCGCCTCCATCACCTGCTGAACTGCACGAGCACAATTAGCATGTTCCCACGGGCCGTCGAACCCCGTGTTCCCTTCTGATTGCGTCTGGCCACGTTTGGCTTTTTATTTGATTTTTTTTTTCTCAAGGTCCAAATAGCGTACATACCATTGCGATGTCCCATGGCCACGGCCATGTCCATGGCGTTGAAACCCGAGTCGGACTCCACGGTGGGATCGGCGCCGCTCTCTGCGAATGGAAATCGCATGCCAAGTTGCGTATGTCGGCGTGAAAGGCGTCAGTTGCACATGTGCTTCATTTGGAATCTCTGGTGGGAGAGGTGAGTGCGTGTTTACCCAGCAGCAGCTCCACGCAGCGTATGTGGTTGCCGTGGACGGCGTAAAGCAGCGGCGCGCCTCCGTTCTGAAATGACAGCACCTTGAGCGACTTCCTCAAATACAATTTGCTGTTCCGTGGTTTTTGTCTTTCCGCGTTTATTAGTGTTTTCTTTGGGGTCTCCAGGTCCTTGTATTTGCTTTTTTTTTTTTTTTGTTTGTTTGTTTGGATTTCGGAGTCAATTTTTCATGTCATTTGAATTTACTAAAACAAAAAACAAATTTACAATGAGTACAGAAAAAAACAAAAAATACTGACCACAAAGGCAAACTTATTTTAGTTGGATAAAAATTTCCATTTGATTTGATCAAAGTTTTGATTGTTTGGAATTAGCGATCTAATTAGTACATTGATATTGAATCAAAACACACCGAGAATTGGAGTTTATAATGCGGTTTACTTTTTGATGTTTAATTAGAAGCATCATATTTTTGGAAAAGCATCTTTTCATCATGTACAGTAAGCACAATTGTATTCTATTGCATTTTTTCTTCAAATGATCATGTCAATGTAAAACTGCCTTTGAAAGTGCACGCGCGCAACTAACCCAGTCGTACTCGTTGACGTCGACGCCGCAGTCGATGAGCATCTTGACGATGTCCGTGTATCCTTTGCTGCAGGCCAGCGACAGAGCGCTCTCTCGTCCTTTGGCCAACAAGTTGGGATCGGCACCCTGCGCGTGCACACGAGTCATCATCATGACGACGATTATTATTCTGACGGTGCCGTATGGATCCGCCGGGATGTAGGAGAACGTCCTACATTCTGGAGCAGAAACTCCACCACCGCGATCTGGCCGTGCGCCGCCGCCCACATGAGAGGAGTGAAGCCCTCCTCGTCTTGGGCGTTGATCACCGGCTCTTGAAAGAGGAAAGACATCATTTCCCCATGGGAAGAACAGCGCCGTCACTCCAAAGAGGACCCGCAGTTTCACCAGTATCAACTTTGCCTGGATCTTTTATCTTTGCTCTCAATCTCACGCGAGAAGGTCTGGCCAATCAACTCGGGGTCGCCCGCGCGACGGATACCCGAACACGATGTTGTTCCGTTTTGTTCGAGTACAGCGTACGAAAGGCCTCTCCAGAGCGACACCTGTACCTTGCTCAATCCTGCTGGCCAGAAAGACCATCTCGCCTTGAGCCGCCAGCTGATGGATGGACAAAGCTGGCAAGACAAAACCCCAGAAGAGGAAGAAGATGAGGCGCGACGGCAAAGGCGAGGCTAAGCTGCGTCAAGGTGGTGGCGGCGGGCGTACAGTGCACGAGGAGCGGCGTGGACGAGACCTCGTTGCCGCGGTGCTTGTTGGTCAGGGTGGTGGACTGCTTGATGGGCGAGAAGTGCTTGGTGGTGGACGGCGTGTAGACGTGGCGCACCTGGACGCCCGCCGACGGAGACGCCTGGATGTTGCACTCCGCTGAAACCGGGTAGACGTGAACACAACACCCGGGGTAAGAGCGGCTTATTACTGTAGGCCAAGTGAATGCTATTATTTCTTTAAAAAAAAAAAAAAAAAAAAAACCCTTTCCAAGTTCAACATTTTGCGAGAAAATGTGCAACCTCATTCAACCTAGGTGTGGTTTTATGGCATTTTATCAAATGTCTTCAAACACACCTTGAACTTTAACTATAATGTATAGAGCGAGCAAGAGCAATATGTTTGAAAACTACTTTTTACATACAAAAAATATGTAAAACAAATACATGAAAAAAATGTCTTCCTGGCAGATATTACAAACGTGTGTTTATGAACAAAATCATTTGGGGCACATGCCACGGAAACAAAACAGTACTCCGAAAAGAATTTGTTCGTGCATGTACAGTATTTATAAATCTTTATTCCAATTCCCTTGTTCCCCCGACAAAAAAAAAGTTGAAAATGTAATGTGACGTGGGGTTATTTGAAGGTGTTTCTCATAATATGTTGAATGACACGTTTTCGTTTGTTTGTTTTTTTTTTGAATAACGACGATCCAACCTTTGAAGAGCACGGAGGCGACCTCGAGGTCGGAGTTGACCTGATCTTGGATGTTCTTGCTGTCCTCCTCGTTGAGCGACTTGACGAATCGGGAGCACACGTTCATGTCGAAGCGGTTGGGCAAGATGAACTTGATGCCCATGGCCACGTTGGGGTTGCCCGCCTCGTCCGCGCCGTTCACTGGCAGCCCCTGCTCAGTCTTGATGGCACTCAGGTGGGGCAAGACGCCGCCGCCCAGGCCCTCCATGTCGTCGGACATGGCAGCGGGGGTCCCCGCGGACGCCGAGCTGGACACGATGTCCATTTGTCGGTCAATGACTCCACGCGGCAGCCGCGTCAACACCGCCGAGCTAAGCGCAGCAGGAGCGATGTCATATCGCCTCTAAACAAACAAATACTCGCCACGGTTCATGTTTACCGTGTGAAATAATGCCATAAAGTGGAGAATAGAACAAATAACGTGAATAGCCTTTTAATAAAGCAAATGGGTCGTATTAGTTCGAAGACCAAATAACGCTACAAAAGGCTATATTGCGGCGCCATCTTGTTTGGTCTGTGACGTCACGCATCTTTTTTTTTTTTCCAGCAAACAGACGCAGGGTTTCCGGTGCGGGTGATTGGTCGCCGGAAGGCTTCTCCGGTTCAACAATTAAACGAAGGTGGATGTGGACGTGCAACAAGTAGAAGTAGTTCGCGATGAGACGCCGCGCCGCGCTGTCGTTGCCGCCTTCGCTGCTGTTGTTGCTGTGTTCGGCCAGCTCGGCGGCCATCGAGCCCATCAGCACCAGCATAGCGGTGGGCATGGCGGCCGCTTTGACGGGCTTTTTAGCCAGCTACCAGAACATCATCTACTATTTCCACGAGTGCTGCCGCCCCGAGTGGATAGCCTTCAACAGAACGGGTGACACCAACACACCCGTCGAGCTCGTTTGAATCTGTAGATTGTCTTCATGTGTTTTTGTTTGACACGTGAATTCTTTTTCCAAACATTTTCAACACGGTGGACCCTGTGGGGTGTATGTCGCGAGTCGATGACGTACACGGAAGTGTCACGGTGGTTGGGGCGAAAAAGCTAGCTTCTTTGCTTTCCAGTTTCGTTTTGGGCGCTATGTTCGTTTATCGAGCGCACCCCGTGTTGAAATTCGGCGTTCGACGATGAAAGTCGCGCGCGTTTGTTTGTGGCTGCACGCTTTGTCGACCTTTGCGATGCTGGCCGGTGCTTTCGACCCCATTACGACCACTGTAGTATTCGGCGTCGGCGCCGTGTTGAGCCGAACCATTTATAACTATTTACGCGAGAGCTGCAATCCCAAATGGATCTCCTTTAACGTCACAGGTGAGACACACGCAGTATTATTTATTAACTCAGTGCAATCGGCAGCGTATACCAGTGTTGTCCTGGCGAGAGAATGAAAACAAACAAGCAAACAAACAAATAAATGAATTAACATACAGAGAAGATACACAGCGATGCAAAACGAAAACGTCATGTGGATAGATTTGCATTCTCGAGTCAAGTCGACTTCATTGTCCAATGTGCTCTCTGGGCAACATACAGCACAGATGAAATTTCTTTCCTCTCAACCACAGGAGAGAGAAGAGCCGCTGCGGCTGCCCGCGCTGCCGTCAACAGACCAGTTAACATAAAATGACAAAATAATACAACACACAGACGGTCACGCGATCTTTACCGCCTTTTCTGCATACACTTTGTTGTTTGTGTGGGCAGGTCTGCAGGAGGACCTCAGTACCAGGCTGTTCGGGCAGCACTTGGCCTCGCACATCATTGCCAAGGCGGTGAGCGGCTTCATGAACAACGCCAACCCCAAGAAGCCGCTGGTGCTCTCTCTGCACGGCTGGACCGGCACAGGCAAGAACTTTGCCAGCGCGCTCATCGCGGAAAGCATCTACAAGGAGGGCATGGACAGCCAATTTGTGCACGTCTTCACCGCCGAGCTCCACTTTCCGCATGCCGGTCAGATGGACGCCTACAAGGTATTATTATGACTGTGTGTCCGGTGACTTTCTGAGTTGCAAAATGCGCTTCATGGGAAGAAAGCGGGAATTTACAAAAGGGTTTTACGGCGGCTATTTTTACAACAAATAGAAATCTCCTGAAGTCCATTCCTGCCAGGAAAATGAATGAATACACAAATAAAATGACTCAAAAAAAAAAAAAATCAATGTAAACTAAGGGCTACAACTGCCGATTAACCATTAATCTTGTCAATTATTTTGGGGATGAATCTGATTAGAAAGATAGATGACGAAGGACTCTGATGTCCAAATCATGAGTGATTTATTTGATCATCCTTTCATCGTTGCCGTAAGATGGCAGCCAATGAAGTTGCGTCCGTTTCCCGGACGTTTTGCGTCCTCGTGGTCGTCGTCGCAGACTCAACTGCAGCAGTGGATCAAGGGCAACGTGAGCAGCTGCGATCGGTCCATGTTCATCTTCGACGAGATGGACAAGATGCACCCGGGCCTGATTGACAGCATCAAGCCCTACTTGGACTACTACGACAAAGTGGACGGCGTCTCCTACCGCAAAGCCATCTTCATCTTTCTCAGGTCAGACCCGCAAATGTGGCAAAAAGCACAATGAGAGGCCTCGCTTAAGGGCGGCGGTAGCATCACATGGAAAGAAAAACCATGCGGTACTGTCGGAATTAAGTTTTACTTTTACTAAATAAATACACATTGAAAAAACATTTTTTGAAAATCATTTTCGTATTGTAAAGTGCACAATTGGCTGTCATCAAAAAAAAATCTAAATTGTGGATTTTATTAATAAGCTCCAGATGAATGTTGTGAAGTGAAAATAGTTTTGCATAGAAAGATTTGATTTGCACAGAATTTATGTTCTGCATTTTGGACTACAAAGTGACAAAAGTATCGCAAGAACATTTTCTTACTGTATGGGGGAGGGGGGGGGGGTTAAAATGATCTGGCTGTGGTAAAACATTTGTTTGGCTCCACAGCAACGCCGGCGGCGAGAGCATCGTGCAGACGACGTTGGATTTCTGGAAAGCGGGCAGAAGTCGCGAGGAGATCGAGCTGAAGGACGTGGAGACGTCGCTCGCGCTGTCCGTCTTCAACAACAAGAGAAGTAAGTTGGCAAACACGGAATCGCCCCGGCACGTTCTGCTCTCGCTAAAGCGAGCCAGGCCGACTTGTCAATGGTTTTCTGATTCTCTTCCCATAGCATCGAGTCCTTTGAGTTGTGCATTTTGGCCCCAAGCGTTTGGCCAAGGGGAGCTTTTGAGTCTCAAGTTCGTCGTCACGTTGTCCATGCTCGACTATTTTCCAAGACCGCGCTCCCATGCACTCATTTTCGAGTACATCGGACACCTCTTATTTTGAAAACATTTATTGTCCCTCACTTTTTAGAAAGGTTTTAAAAAAAAAAAAAAAATCCTATTACGATGAGTGGATTTTTTGGGGGTATATCCCCCCGCCCCAGAAATTCTATATATATATATATATATATATTTTTTTTTGGTGAAGAGTTCATCCGGCTATTCTGCCCGCCCCTTCCAACTTTCTGAACAATCTTTATCCCCCCGCCCCCGTTTTGACAGGCGGCCTGTGGCACACGAGCCTGATTGACAAGAACCTGGTGGACTTCTTTGTGCCCTTCCTGCCGCTGGAGTACAAGCACGTGGTTCAGTGCGCCATGGCCGCCATGTCCGCTCAGGGCCTGGAGCCCGACGCCGCCGTGGCCGACAAGGTGGCGGCCGATCTGCTCTACTTCCCCAAAGCCGAGCGCGTCTTCTCCGTCAAGGGTTGCAAGACCATCGACAGCAAGTGGGAATACTACGTATAGCGGCAGGACGGGCGCCGCCATCTGATCATCGCCGGGCGCACGTTGTGACAAGCGGGAAAAACTCAAGTGGTGTCGCCCACTCTGAACTTCAAAAAAAAAAAAAAAGTGATTCCCTTTCAATTGAAAGTGAATCATGAAGGTTTTTTTTTTTTGACTGTGATTTTTTTCAATTTTTTTTTCTCCAAAAGGGTTCGTCTATTTAACAGACGGGGAAAAAAATGTCAACACACCAAGCAAACGTGGATATGTCCCTGCTGTTGTCAAAAAACAACTTACCTGTCATCATCCAATTTGGAGTAAATACATACGAAATGAAAAATGAGATGGTTCAGGCACAACTTTGGCGATGTATTCATCTCGCGCGCGCGGGATGAGCTTCGCAAACCCAAGGCGGCCGCAGACGAGCCGCTTTTTCTTTTGAAATGACATCATGACCGTCGCTCTTCCTCTTTGCAATTTTATTGCTTTCAAAAGATGACACGGCGGCCTCCCCGGGGTGCGCCGTTAGCTGCGAAAAGTCCTCCCGGCCAAACCTTGAGGAGGCCTAAAGAGTCTCAAACCAGCAGCACTGCGTTAATGCAGCCGTCGTTCTCGGGGTTGTTGGTCACCTGTGCGTATTTACCTGCAAGGGGGCAAAACATTTGCACTTCAAAACCATCATCATGACATGACCTTGGCGAGACTATTCGAGTTAAGTTGCTGAAACGGGGTAGCAATTGGAGGGGGGAAAACAAAGTAACACCTCTGCGACTTTGCTTTCGAAGCACTCCTAAATGGCAGACTCCTGTGCACGTTTTTTTTTTAATGGCTTCTTGCGAGCATTCAACGATCAAGCAGTAAGAAGAAAATCTGTGAGTGTACTCATGCAAGCTGTGCCTCTCAAATGTCAGGGGGAAAAAGAGAGCCTCCTGGAAAGTCGGGCTGACTTCCTGCGTGTTTGAAACCCTGTCCCAGGTCTTACCCCAGATGACTTTGCCTCCCTGCGTGACCAGTCCCAGCTCGCTGACGTTGACTTCCACCACGGTGCCCTTGGTAATGACGCCCAGCGAGGTGTAGAGCGGGGACGACGGGTTCTTCTTCACGCCCAGGATGGGAAGGCAGAAGGTGGCCTTGAGCTCGGGATGCGTCACGTGGGCCTTCTTGAAGCGCAGACCCTGCACAAGCGACGCAGTCGGGCTCGGCTCACGACATCAGGTGAGGAAACCTCGGCCCAGCGCGCGTCCGAGTGCCGTCCGACGGGCGGGCCGGCCCGACGTTCACAACGCCGGCCCGAGGGCGCTCGGACATCCGTTTCAGCCGCGCTGCATGCGATGCGCCCCGCTTGGCGGGCGCTTCGACTCATTGGGCGACCCGGGACTCACCATGGGCCTGATGAAGCGCTCGTATTTGGGAGGTTTGCGCGTGAAGCCGTCGCCCACGAAGCAAACTTTGGTGACCAGTCTCTTCCAGGCCTTCTTCTGCCGCTTGCCCGTTCTGACCACTTTCAAAACCTCCGTCTCGCCCTGGGCTCGCACCTTGGGCAGCGGCACCTCCCACTTGCCCTGAAAGACGAGATCGGGGGTGGGGCGCCTTCTCTTTGCGCTTTTGCTTGATCATGTTGGACAGCACTTTGGCGCGGGTTTGCCCCTCGCGGTCCAGCAGGTAGGCGGGCACGGCGCCCTTGGGGGTCTTCTCGTCGTCCTTCTGCTTGGTCTTCCTCTGCTCGTGCATTTTGATGCTACGCACCAATCGGACATGTGTTACTGACGCACATACGCAAGACGCCGACAACCCAGCAAAAGAAACCCCAAAATTCATCTGAGCACGCTTCTTTGACCTTTGACCCGGTGGTGATCGAGGGCAGCTCGGAAGTCGGCAATACAAGAAGCGCACTGCCAAAAACAAGGCAAATGTGGAAATCCCAGCGGGCGGGAGTACTCACGTCTTCTTCATCTGGATCTTCTCGGCGTGCCGCTGCTTGTGGTACAGTTTGGCCTTGAGGCCGATGGTCTTGCGGGCCTTGCGCGAGCGACTGTGCGCCTCGCGGCTCTCCTTCTTGCGCTTGCGCTCGTGGTGGTCCAGGCGGTAGCCATGCCGCTTGCGGTGCAGCTCGATGTGCTCGTTCTGGGGCTGGAAAAGAAATTGAACAAAGCTTTTTCGCATTTCAAGAAACGGTACTCCCAAGGTGAAAATGATCAAATGGCTGACCGGGAGAAAGTTGTAACAACGTTCGATTTTAAAAGCGGAAGATTCTCATTAAAAAAAAAAAAAATCCATTTTATGAGAATGGCATTGAGATTTTTGATTTAAATTTGAAACAATAAAGTGATACATTTTGAAGAAAAAGTTACGTTTTTCAGAGGAAGAAAAATACACACCGAAATAATAGTTGAATATTCAAAAAAAAACAGGGACTTGGGAGAAAATAAAATTTTTTACACACAATTTTGACAAAGATGTGACGTCCAGGAAGACAATTTTTTCGACAAAAAAATACGTAGAATAACCTGTTTTTTTAGGAGAATAAACTCAAGTATTTAAGAAAAACTAGCCTGTTTGAGGTTTAAAAAAAAAGGTATGTTTCGGAGATAATAGACGGTTTATTTCGATTAGAACGTGTATGTTGGCAGGAAAACGTGAGTCTTTCGAAAGTGGTACTTTTTAAAAATCCCGTTTGTCTGCCACTTGATCACTGAGTCAAGTCAGTTATTTGACACGGACAACGCTTAATCGGGCAAAACGTGATTAGGCCTATCGATCGCTGAAGAGCGGAAAAACTCTCCATTTTCACAAATGTACACAACTCAAGCTCGCACATGGAGGCAAGCTAGTCGAAGCATCGGCTGCGGTTTCTCGTGGTCAATATCCAAATACGGCGCTTAACGCATTGATCTGCTCACCATTGTCGCGTTGCGAGTGTCACGTTGTTCACAATAACTTGTTGCCGGTGTAAAAAAAAAAAACGCAGTGGCTCAAAAGTTGACAAGCGGGTGTTGGGATCTCGAGACTCGGATTGTTTAGATGTCGACGGCTCCGAGCCGAGTTTTTAGAGGAAGTACGTCACGATGTTTCTCCGATAATGTTCGGCTGTCAAACGTGAGCGCCGCTATCGTTCCGGGTAAAATCTACATTAAGATGCACTCATTCAATAAAGACGCGTTACTCGTTGTAGCATGACATATACATTTAAATGAAATAAAAATTCCAAACAAGTACGTTTTTCAAAGTAATTCAAACTTAACGGTAAAATACGCCCCCTCAAGGTTCCGAGGGGGACGTATTTCGGAAGAGTCCCCAATAGAAATGTGACTTGGGACATTCTGGAACGGCGCTTCCGGTGTCATTATTTGCTATTCTCGTCCAGAATACATCGTTAAAATACAGAGGCTGTCTGCGTATATTTAGACATATGTATTTCAACTGAAAAGTCATCCGGACAGAGATGTAAATAGTCTTCCTTGTGAGGAATGACTTGGAGCTTAAAGGCATATTAGCACGCGGGCGTCGTTGGACATTGAAAGGATGATTTGGGTAAGGTCGCAACCGCGCTGTCACTTTGAATTGCGCCTGCTCGTGTTACGAGACGTTCACTGTCCTTTGCAGGGCAACTCTTTCTTGCGACTGCGGTGCTGCACGTGGAGACCGGGCAGGTTTCCAAAGAGGGCTTCCAGCTTTCTTCCTGGTGGTAAGTCGTTTATTGGACAGATGCTAGCCGTTGTCGTCACTCCAAAAACAAGTGGAAACCTCGGCGTGGTTTGATACGGATGCGCGCGTAACCCCATCGAATGGCCACGCCGTTGCAGAAGACGTCAAATCGCTGCGGTCTGTGATCAGCCCGGATGTGTCCAAGTAAGTACACGACTGGAGTTGCACTTGAGTTGGCTCTCAGACGCCGGTTGCTTGAATTTTTTACACAGGCGATAACCGGAGGAAATGCGTATTTTTCGAGAAAGACACAGCAGTTTGACGTTCTTTGAGTTGTGTCCCAGTCTTTATTTGAAACTTGTACGACCCTCGCCTCCCACCCAAAGCAAAACGAGCAAGGTCCAAGTACTTTCACTTTGTATTTGTCGGACACAGTATTTCCAGTATTTAGTACTTGTTAACTTGTGACTTGCTACCTGTCTCGGTTTTATACTTGTATGACGACTCTCTTGAAAAGCTGACCGTGAACTTGCAGGCTTCCAATGCAGGCCGAGTGTTTTGACTTTGTTCTCGTTGTGCCATTGTGTTTGTTTTCCGCTCGGACCACCTCCCGCCTGCGCCTCAGGATCCGCAACATCGGCATCATGGCCCACATCGACGCGGGCAAGACGACCACCACGGAGAGGATGCTTTACTACTCGGGCTACACCCGAGCGCTGGGAGGCGAGTTTGTCGGATGGGAGAGGGAAAGAAAGACAACGCGTGACAGATGGCAACAAGTTGCTGTTTTTTTTTTTTTCCCGGGGCTTCCAGATGTGGACGACGGAGACACGGTGACGGACTTCATGGCTCAAGAGCGCGAGCGCGGCATCACCGTCCAGTCGGCGGCGGTGACCTTTGACTGGAAAGGTCACCGGATCAACCTGATCGACACGCCGGGTAGGCATCCGGTTCAAGCGACCCACCGTTTGAGAACGAGCGATGAAAGCCCCGCTTGGCGCGTGTGAATGCGCGCGCGCGCCACCGCAGGTCACGTGGACTTCACGCTGGAGGTGGAGCGGGCTCTTCGGGTGCTGGACGGGGCCGTCGCCGTGTTTGATGCGGCCGCGGGGGTGGAGGTTTGCTCCTTTCTGCCCACAAAGTTGCGCGCGCGCGCGCGTGTTGTTTTCAAGAAAAGCAAAGCCGACGCGTTGAACGTGGATCCATCAGGCTCAGACGGTGACGGTGTGGAGGCAGGCGGAGAAGCACCGCGTGCCGTGCGTGGGCTTCCTCAACAAGATGGACAAGCCCGCGGCCGAGTGAGGGCGCAGTCCGCCGCAAACGGCCTTCTTCCGATCGTTGAGTCCAACGTTGACCTCAAGGGGAACCCCCCCACCTTTTTCTTTCAGTCTCACTTTGTGTTTGGAAAGCATCAGGCAGAAGTTGAAAGCCAATCCCGTCCTGCTCCAGGTAACTTTTCCAGGAAAACCTTCAAGATTGACGCGCGGCGCGGATGACACGGCGAGCGGCTAACGGCTCGCCGTCCCGCTTCGTAGCTTCCCGTCGGCACAGGCCGCAACTTCTCCGGCGTGGTCGACCTGCTGACCAATCAGAGGCTGACGTGGAAGCCGACGGACGACGGGCGCGTCTACGACGCCGGACCCCTGAGCGAGTCCCGGGAGGAGGAGGCGGAGCTCCTGCGGGAAGTCCGCCGGGCCCGAAGCGCGCTGATTGAGCAGGTGCGACGTTTGGCTGTCGAGGGCACCCAAGTCCGACCCGGGTTGTTCTTCCAAAGCGTAGCGTCAACGTTGCCTTGTCGCCGGCAGGTCGCCGATCTGGACGACGACTTTGCCGAACTGCTGCTGACCGACTTCGGCCACGACTTTGACGCCGTTCCTTCCGTCCGAGTGAGTCGACTCGATCGAAGTTGCCGGCGGCCGCGAACGGGCGCCCCGAGCCAGGACGCGACTGCCCAGCTGTCACTTTCCCGTTTTCGCCGCCGGTTTGCCTTCTTCCCGATCCAGCGCGCTCCATCTGTCCGCAACAAGCGCACAGAGTCTCGTCCGCGGTCTGCTTGAAATGGCCGTTCAAAGAAAACGCAAGACTATTTTTTTTTTTATACTTTTGTGTGTCCCTTCACCGTCAAGACGTTTTCGACCACTTGGGACTTCGGGGGCAGAATTTTCCAAATGTGCTGCTTTTTAATTTTTTTCTCCCCTCCCTCACTCAGCTCCAAGAGGCAGTGCGGCGGGTCACTCTGACCCGGAAAGGCGTTCCGGTGCTCTGCGGAAGCTCTTTGCGCAACAAAGGCGTTCAGCCGCTCCTGGACGCCGTCGCCGCCTACCTGCCGTCCCCCAACGAAAGGCCCCGCGACCTGGCGTGAGCGAACCGCAGCAAACTCGGGAGCGAGTCGCAATTCCAAGGTGAAGGCTCCAGTCCGACTCGCACCTGTGTGGGGCCCGAACAGGCGCTGGTACGAGGACGAGCTGTGCGCTCTGGCCTTCAAGGTCCTGCACGACAAGCGGCGGGGCTCTCTGGTCTTCCTTCGGATCTATTCGGGAACGCTGCGAGCGCAGGCGGCGGTGCGCAACGTCAACAGGAACAGCACGTAGGTGTCTGCGAGCGCTGTCGCCCACGTACTCGCCCTTTGTGCTTAAGTCAAAGTGCAGATCGCTGCTTGTTAAAAAAAAAGGAACCGGCCTGTTTTCGGGAAGGCGAACCGTAGGGGTCTTTTCGAATGGGGGGGAAAAGTAAAACCACTTTGGCAAAACGAATAGTGACGTAGGCGCACCGAAGCCCAAGTCGAATAAAAGACTTTGACTTTGTCACGTTGCGCTTCAGCGAGAGGCTGAGCAGACTCCTGGTGCCTTTTGCCGACCAACACGTGGAAATCTCCTCCATGACGGCGGGGAACATCGCGCTGGCCGTCGGGCTCAAGCAGGTGAACCCGGGCGCCGCCTCCTCTCGCTCACGTCCCCCCTCGGACACGGCGCCTTCTCGCTCTCCAAGACGGCGACCGGCGACACCATCGTCTCCTCCAAAGCGTCGGCCGCCGCCGCCGCCCGCCGAGCGCGGACGGACGTGGTCCTGTCTGGGGTGGAGGTCCCCGACCCCGTCTTCTTCTGCACCGTCGAGCCGCCCACCTTGGCCAGACAGGCCGGTCAGTCGAAATGTGCTTTTCATGGCAATCGGATTTGTTTTTGGGGAGTGTTTGTTGTTTCCGTCTAGATCTTGAGAGTGCGCTGAACAACCTCCAGAAGGAAGACCCCAGTCTCAAAGTCCGGACGGACCCGGATTCCGGACAGGTACGGGCGCTATTTTTCACGTTTGGCCCCGTTCCGCGGTCGCCGCCGCTGAGCGCGCGAGGGCTGGGCGCAGCGCGACGATGGCGGCGCGACCCGTTTGGACGGGGGCTGACCGCTCGACCCGGCGTCATGCCGTCTTCAGATCATCCTGTGCGGGATGGGAGAGCTGCACATCGAGATCATCCACGATCGGATACGAAGGGAATACGGCGTCGAGACTCAACTGGGCCCTTTGCAGGTGGCGTACCGGGAGACCGTCCTCCGCCGGGCCTCCGCCGCAGGTACGCTTCGAGTCTGGCGCCGATCCGATTCGGGCTTTGCCGCCCGGACGGGCTGCCACGGCCTGTGTTTGCACTGTGACAAGACACGCTGGAGCGCACGGTGGGCGAGAAGAGACACGCGGTGACGGTGGAGCTGGCCGTCCGACCCAGCGAGGACCGCGCCGCCGGCGCGTGTCAAGTGGCGCTGGCGGAGGAAGCCGCCGCGACCTTGTCTGAAGATATGAGGGAGGCGGTGGAGAACGCGGTGCGCGGCTCCTACCTCCAGGGTGAGCTGATACCGAGCCGGCACTTGGCGTAATTGTGTTTGTTCGCTTCGATTTGATGCGTCAAAGAAAAAGCGGTCGGGAACGTCCTGACCGATGGCATTGCGCGTCCTCTTTCTCGGCCCCTCCAGGCCCGCTGCTGGGCTCGCCTCTGCAGCGCGTGTCCACCCTGATCCGACGCGTCCAGATGGAAGCGGGAACGTCTCCGGCCATGGTTTCCGCCTGCGTGTCCCGCTGCATGCTGAAGGTTGGTCGGCGCCGCGCCGTCTTTCTCGACGGCTTCGTTTGCCAACGCGACTCCTAACGTCGGTCCGTGGCCATCCCGTGCAGGCCCTGCGGCTGGCCGGGGGGCAGGTCCTGGAGCCCGTCATGTCCCTGGAGGTGAGGGTGGAGGAGGAACATCTGGGCGCCGTCTTAGGCGACCTGGCCCAGAGGCGAGGCACGGTTCGGGACATCCAGAGTCGCCACCCGGACAAGGTGCTGCTGGCCAGCGTCCCCTTGGCGGAAACCCGGGTGGGTCCCAAACACTCTCTTTCTGGTCGTCTGCCTACTTGGAGCTCCTTTGTATTGTTTTTTTTTTTTTTTGGCGCAAC